TTGCACGCGCATGTGAGAGGTGACGGGGATGGAAATGGGGGAGTGGAGTGGGCAGCAGGGCCTGCAGTGAAGAAGCCTCTTGGTGACTCATAGTATGTACGTTCTGATCTGCAGAGGAGTCAGGCTACGTAATGAAGTTTGCCTGCCCATTATGAATTTGAGGATGGTTCTCGGGACAGGGAGGTTTGAAAGAAAAGCTACTTCGTAAGCAGCTAAAGTTGTTGAAGGTTTTGACTGTATCTGGATGGGATTTACAATGATGACTAGCACTGACAGTGTGCCAGTCAGAGCTACTAGGATTGGAAGTATGTTGTGTTAGTATTAAAAAGCAAGAGAAGAGAGTGATACAGAACCAGAGTTATACTGTCAACATCTCAGAGCTATTAGCTTATCCATAAAAAATTTGATCCATTGTCCTTCATAACAATATCCAATAGTTTCCAGCCAAATGCAGCTGGAAAGCTTTGTTCCTAAATCAGAAGTACTGATTAATTCTATCCTAAATAACTTTAATGTATGCCAAATTCAATATGTGGCTCATAGGAGAAATGAAGTTCTGGCATAGACACTGGGCAGTGTCAAGGTGACCTAACATGCGGTTACTGTAGAATTATGAACATGAAATGCCACCCTGCAGTGCCCCCATAAAAATCTAATTCTTTAAGGTCCAATTCTTTTTAAAATTTCATTTTTTTTTCTAGGATAATTAGTATATTCAGCACTATAGTATGATCATTTTTTTGTAGCTTTTGACTAATTTCTTTCTTTTTTTCCTTTTTTTGTCTTTTTTTTCATGACCGGCAACGGATCGCAACCCTCAGTGTCGCGCCCGTACCGGACCAGGACCGGCAACGGGATCGCAACCCTCGGTGCTGCGCCCGCACTTCGCTCAGCCAGTGAGCGGCCGGTCTGTATGTGGGATCCAAACCCTCGGCGGGAGCGCCACCGCACTCCCATGCGGCGCACTGTAGCAGTGCGCCACCAGGCCGGCCCCTGACTAATTTCTTTCTAACTCCTCCCCCCTTCCCACCTCTAGTAGCCTCAGTTCTGTTCTCTCTTTAATGCCCAATTCTATGTCAACCTGTTTTCACAAGGATTAATAAGAAAATAACACAGAAACCAGAAATAACAACAATAAACTATGTGATGAGGGCCTATCTTCTGTAGTTGAGTTATAACACAACACTCAATCCCCATTAATTGTCAAGAAGAAAGCATGGCAGAATGAACTCAAAAGACTCAGGGTCCAGATCTGCAAAGCTCCAAATAATGTTATCACTGAAGTCCCGTCGATTCTTTCTAATAAATACCAACTTAATGCCTTAAAATAAAGACTCCAATTTTATAAAATGTTTATGAAAAAGCCTGGACAGAATACATACACAGATAAATCAGTATCACAAATAATTACAAATAACTAGGACTGCTCATTGTTTAAGAAGTTCTAGCCTCAATTTTATACTCTGTATTAGATTGAAATATGTGCCCCCCAACTCACTGAAACTTGGAATTGTGTCCCCCACGTTTTATGTATTAGAAATTTAGCCCCCTCTGTGACTGTTAAGAGGGTGGGAAATCCTATTATGGTAACTGAAAGGTGGAGCCTTGAGGAGGTGATTGGATTGTAGGACCCTGTAGTAGTGAATGGATTAAAAATGGTGGTCAAGGGTGTGGTTCTGAGGGCTTTAAAAGAAGAGGAGAGTCTGTCTCTCTCGGCTCTGCTCTCTCTGCTTCTGCCATCTTGCAACGTGAGACCCTTGGGTCACTGTCGCCACCACCAGATGGACTTTGGACTTCCCAGCCTCAGAAACTGTAAGCAATAAATTTTGCTTTTCTTTATAAATCATCCAGTTTCAGGCATTTTGTTATAAGCAACATAAACGGACTAATACTCTCTATAGATGGAGTACATTTGAGTAACTCATTTCTCACCTTCTCTTCCAGGCAATCAAGAGCTGTGCCAGTGTTCATTTCTTATGTCATTTATGTGCCCCCAAGAGGATGCTGAGTCATCTGAATATACTGGCATATAGCATATACTACAGGTACAGAGATCTGATGAAGATTTTGCTGATTAGTATTTCTAAATTGAGAAAGATTTTCTGCTGCATTTCTGCCCTTCTAGACTGGCTTAGAGCATGCCCATGTGTCCTCTCTACAGGTTTAATTATTCTAAGGGAAGATTCCAAGGGAATGCAAAGAGTATTCCTAACCCCCTAGATGTACCAGCAGACCAGGGGACTCCTAGAATCATTCTACCTACAAGAACTCTTCATCAAAGAGCAGCCCCAGCACAGGAACTCCTTTTTCTCTGTAGCCTGGTGCAGAGCAGTTTTGTCTTACCACAGTCTGTATCTAGATTCCAGAAACTGCAGGGGAGCTCTTATGGCCCCAACATTCAGGTGTCTACAAAGTATAAATGGTCAAACTCAATCACAGCATAGAGTCTCATTTAATGGCAGGGATTGTCAGTCCTGTAAACTCTTCTTCACTGTGGCAGTCTTTTGGAAGATTATTCTGTCTCTGGTTACAAAATGGTACAAGTATATAGGTATCTAGAGGGTAGATTTGAACAGGAAGTCCCATTTGTTGTCAAACTATTAGAGTAAATTAAATTTTGGAAGGGAGAGAGGTAATGGAGAACTGAAGATAAAAATTAAGTTTATTTTAATCAAACACTTAAGTCACTAGCCTCCCTTCTACCTAAACATTCTCATATTGGTTAAAAATGAGTGTCACCCCCTGTTTCTCTTTTGCAAAACCCTGAACTTCAAATGCTGTTATAGATGGACTAGTTCAAAAGACCAGTGAGGAGAAATATCCTGAAAAATGTAGAGTTGGTTGTGCATACTTTTTATTGAAGATCCTGACTTACTAATATTTTTCCAGTACATTTGAATTTAGTTTTTTTCTGATATGAGACATCAGCAGAGGTGGCATGTTATAAATAGAACCTTCCAATCTACTTCCATTAATGTACAGTGTGCAAAGCATATCATGTTTTTTTATCCTTCATACCACTGTTCATTCATATATTCTCTCAACAAATATCTATTGAGCCATCTATTTATTGTATATGAGCCAGTATAGTTGGGGATACAGAAGAAAAAATATGGATATTAGTATCTAACATTTATTGAACATGTACTAAATGACAGGCACTGAATTAAAGGCAGGGTTATGCACATAATTTTACACAATTCTTATTATAGCCCAATCAAAAAAGTACTATTTTCTACATATTACAGACAAGGAACTAATAATACCTACAGATGCCATATCATTTTTTAAATTTTGAGGTAGCTGATTGAAAAAAAGTATACACATACATATATTCTAGTAACTATTTAGAAGACATTGTAAATGAACTGTGTTCTTCAAATAAAACAAAGTAAAAGAGATAGCAATCTCCAGTGAAAGGAAAAACATAAAATAAAGAAATAGAGAACTGTTCCCATTTTTTTTAACCTTCAAGTAGTCAGAATTCACACTTAAAGAGGGAATGTTTACTATGGATTATCATGTGCTTTGTTTGTACCCTAAGAGCATTGCAGGGGAAGTCACACTTTTGTCACATGGACTGAAACAGAAACAGTTGTCAGAGTCGGACACATCTTCCAATAGAAGAAAAATCCAGTTACCAACTACATATGGTTCATTTTGGGTTCCTGGAACTGATAGCATGTCAGCATGTCTTCTGAGACTTGAGCATGGCATGCTATTACAGCTGTATATCATCAGAAAGAAAAAAATAATTGGTTTTCCTTGGAGTATCTCTAAGTTGATGTCATATTCAATAACCCTGTAGTTGAAAAATCTATACGTGATGGATGAAGTGTGGACTATCTGTTGAATCCCATTCTTCCTGTGCCGGCTTCTACAGGCCCTGGTGTACCTCTCATTTTGAGAGGAGTGCATATAATATTTAGAAAATGCAACTGGCCGCTACTTCTGCCAATAACGAACTACAAAAGAATAAATTGTCTCACGTGTACAACGGCCTCATTCTTCACTCTTAACAATGCCATGGAGGAGCCTGTCTGAACTTAGAACCCCACACTGGGGTCAGTGCCACTGAATCAGTACTGTGCGTCACAGAGAGCAGATGGCGGCTTCCCTTGCTCTGGATGTGAGGGATTCCGAGACAGCCTCAAACACAGCCTTCCAAGTTGGGGTCCCTAGCACGTTACCAACACATCCTCATCAAGAACTCTGCCTTGTAAGAATAAGTACTCCTTCTGGATCCACTGATGTCTCTCAAAAGAGGACATTTAGAGCTTTCCTTTGGTCCAGATAAAGAAATAGCCGACCTGGATGTATTCTGTGGGGCAACTGAACGTTTGCAGGTGAACAGTAACTTCCTTCCTCCTTTTTTCTCCTTCCTTAGTGCCCAGCTTCTTTTGCTCATATTGGATAAGTGGATCTAGGCTTGGGCAGGGATGCCTGGATTAGACTGTCCTGGATTAACCTAGCACCACAAGTCTGGATCCCCCTATTTCATCAGCATTACAGGTCTGGCCCCTGCTAAGGGGTTTAGAGATTAAGTCTCAGCCTGGGGCTCTGGCTAAGTGTCGAACTTTTGAACTAGAACCAACCTGGCCTCCAGTTGGAAGTGACATGTCCAAACTCTAAAATTCAGATTTGTGACACATGAGATGCAAATTATCTGCTTGAACTCAGTCTTATGTCTGACAACCAATTAATATATATAGTTACAGAAGAGCAAACTCCCCATTAGTTTCTATGCCACTAACTTGAAATGTATGTAATATGAGGGACTTCAAAAAGTTCATGGAAAGATTAGTATTCTTTCAATTCTATTTTTCCACTAACTTTTTGAAGTACCCTAATATAATCTTGATGAAATTAATCTCACCTCTGACCAGAAGACAAAGTTGTTTACATTGTTAACAAGTTGGAGGTGAATTACTAAAATATTATTGAAGCTATTACCTAAGAATTATTTAACAGAAGAGATAAACAATATAGAAGTTCCTTACCTATTAGCAGGGCTTCTTTCTCTGATTTTAAGCCTTGGCTTCTTTTTTCAATATTGTTCTCTCGGTCTTGGTTGACCAATGCGACTGTCAATACATTGATTTCCTATAAAAATTAAAAAACAAAAACGATATATGTGCTTGTGTATTTCCCATAAAAATTAAAAAGCAAAACCAATATTTGTTTATGTATTTCTTGTAAAAAATTAAAAAACAAACAATATATGTGCATTTCAATAAAATCCACCATATCTCTTAAACTCTATAAAAGAGGTCACCACTTCCATTTATAAATGCAGATAAAATCGTATACACAACTGAACTATTTGCCCAACAGTAGAAAAGTAATTCTGAAACTTAGGCTCTTAGCCACTGCTACCAGGAAACCAAGTAACTCTGCATAAGTGGCAAATTTGTTACAAACTATCTCAGATTTTTGTTCATGTTTTGATTAAATTCTGTTCACTAAAACTGTGATTGACTGTAACTGCTTTAACATGTGTTATTTCAAATATGAAAAAATTTCTGGAAAATAATATAGCAGACTGATTTATAATACTATCTAAAAATAATGTGTGAGCATGTGGGAAACAGGGCCTACTAGGAAGCTGAGATAGAACTGTTGTTAGTAAATAATCAACCACATTGTATATCGACAAAATAAAATACTAAAAGAAAAAAAAAAAAAAAAAAAAACTGTTGTTAGGAGTGTTTAAGTTGAGTAGGTATGGGTCCTCATCCACAACTGCAAAAGGTAGACAAAACAAAAAAAAAAAAAAAAAAAAAAAAAAAAAAAAAAAAAAAGAACTGTTGTTAGGAGTGTTTAAGTTGAGTAGGTATGGGTCCTCATCCACAACTGCAAAAGGTAGACAAAACAAAGGTTGGGAAATTCTTTTCTTTGGAAACTGAAAGTGATGAATTGTACAACAAGCCAATAAGTGATGAAACACTGAAGCTGGACTATTTTAGTTTTTTCTATGGTCTTTTTAATTTAAAAGCAGACATAAAGACTTAACTCATATCTTCCCACACTTGATATTAGGGCTCAAAATGGAGAGTGATTTAATAGTAAAATCCTAATGATCTGCATATATGGGGTAGTAGAATCATTAGGGCAGTTGAACCCTGTGGGAAGGGAGTTGCTCACTGAAAGATGGCTCTCAAAGATGTATATTGAGCAAAGAGTTAAGGATACTATTTCCATTAAGTGTGGGGAACTTGCAGGAATGATAGGGGATAGGTAGGGAAGGCCAAGTGGACAAAGGGGAACTCAGATGGACTGGACAAATGGTCTGGCAGGCATTACCAGGATGGAAACTGGTTGCAAGATAGATATTTAACTACTTAGTACAAATTAACAAAACTGGCCAAATACAAGAATATAGAAATTGGGAGCATGTTGAGCATGCAATGAGTACAAATCACATCTGAAGGCACTAACGACAACAACAAAAACTCAGTGTGTGCCAATAAAAATAGATGTGAGCTCAACTTAACTCCTTTGTGAATTGGAGGTAATTAAAAATCGCCAGGAAAAAAGGCTCTACTGAGAAATTGCAGTTGGTAATGTTTGCTGAGCAAGGCTCCTGTTAAGGTCAGGAGCACCTGCTGAAGACTGAGTGATCAAGACTGAGAGGTGAAGATGAGTGAGGTAAAAATTGAGGGAATCACAGTGATATGATGACAGACCAGAGGGAAGATCTTGATGGACTAGATGGTATCAACTAAGGCCTGAGGCTGATGGCAGAAGTGTCTTGTCTGGAGCCAGCTGGACATACAAGGTCATTAGAGATGAAAGATGCTCTTATGATTCAAAAAAGGGAACTTGGGAGCCAGCCCCAGTGGAAACACAATGAAGAACTTTAAAACAGAACACATCCAAAGGTTAAGTAGATAGCATTAGAACATCTTATAAAGAGGGGTTACAGGGAGGGGAATAGGAATTCCTTCTATGATAAAATATCATGTGGCTTCCGATTGGGTTGTCTCAATCAGAGCAGAGAAGGGCTGTGTGTACACTTTATCTCTCTGGACTAGTGGGGTCAAGGATCCTGCCAAGTTCCATTAGTGGTATGCCCTAAGGACAAATAGGTCCCACACTGGGCTTCCAGGCCTGGGTGGATAAGACTGAGCAGAATGCAGGCTGAGGCTCTGTGAAGGTCTCCCAAGAGAGGTGTAGGAAGACAGAGGATGGAAGAACATTAACTACAATGATGATTGCATCATTATAAAAAATACAAATAATGAACTCTAGAGCTAAGTGGAAATAATATCTCCAAGACAGGGTGATTTGTTCACAGCCAAGATGATAATTGAGGCCAGATGAAATTACTCAAGAGTTTAGCAGACAACAGGCCCACATTAATTGCCAAGACTGAGTGGTGTCCTGGGCATCGCACAGTTGAGGATTGAGGTTTATGAGGGAAATGCACCACAGAGAGCAGGCAGATGTAAGGAGCCAGCAGGGAAATGGCAAGGGCAGAATAGGCTGAGACCACCAAGTGTGCTGTTGGACACCTGATCCCATGTCCAGAGCTGGAGTCATAAAGAAAGGGGGACATTAAGCAGGGCCCCAATAAATGCTACTCAATCAACAATGTCTACAAAGAGCCGACTATGGCCCACCAGTGACTCTTATTTTGATGATGCTTTAGGGTTGGGCAAATGAAGATAGAAAGATAAGAAAAAGGTCCTAGGACAACCAGTATGTGAAAATATCTCTAGAGATTGGATCTGTGCTCTGCTGATCACAAGCAGTGTGCTCTAGCATGGGCCTGGACAGCGACTGTGGAGTGGATGCACCCTCTGCATGGCTCTCACAACAGCCCAGCCCAGCAGGCCCGGGTTTGACAGACACCCCAGCCTCTGGCTACTTCTGTGAGTTCTGTCCAGGGTGGAGATGAAGCTTTCTTTCTGATTGCTCCAGGAGGGAGAAGAACGACACTGGAAGTGGTACAGGACCCCCTAAAGCTGACCAGGCAGGCTCCAAGGAGTGCTCGCATCTTATAATAAACCAGCCTTGAGAATCTCCAAAAGGGAAAATACCATGTCCACTAGAGTCAAAGGCATGTCCAAAAATACGAACTAGAGACTTAAGTCTGTAATATCATATAGTGAAGTGGACCAACTTGTGACCACTCAAAAGAGTTCCTACTGACTAAGTTCCCTGGAGCCTGCCTTGGACATGGCAGAAGCTCAGACTCTTGCTGACAAAGTCACAGAGTTAACTAGACAGGTGAATGCTCATGTCACATGTATTGCCAAAGATAACAAAGTTAATACGGATGTTTTCAGGGCTAAAAGACGGGTTAGTAATTTTAGATAGCTACTTTATGTGCTGTGCTTTTACCTTTTCCAACCATTAAAAAAAGGAGGGTTTTGTTTTAATGTCTCATGAATCATGGCTTCCTTAGAAAAATAAGGTTAATTTGGCTTGTCTGTATTTATGATAGTGTTCTTCAGCTCAACAGTATAATTACAGTTATTGGTAGTTTGCAAGTTTAGGATAGCCTACAAAGTACAAAGTAGCTATAAGCTACAGCTGACCCCTCTCTATGTCTACAAATTTAAATTATCATCCAATGTTTGTCAGAAGAGCTCCATCATCATAACTAGTTATGGTGAAGGAAATACACAGAGAGAATGCGGAACTTAGTAATTCCCCAAACCAAACCTTTGGTGCATTTAAGCGAAGCCTATTTTTACTTTCAGCCACCCAATATATATTTATGAAACATACGTATATCACATGCCTACTATATATCAAGGAATTCTAAGTTTTGTAGCAGGAAGTGCATGCTTACCCAGACAGGGGCTAGCAAGCAATTCTTATAAAAGGTTTTTAAGAAAGAAATGTCAAAGAAGAAGCTGGAGGAGTAGGTAGGTCATAATGAGTTTAGATTTTTATCTGGAAGGCTTAACTCGTGAAGAGTTTTCAGCAGAGGAGTTACATGAACATCTCTGCGTTTGAAGACACTAGTTTGAAGGCAAATGAAACTGGAATGAGAGATGCCAGCTTGGAGCCTGCTGCTATAGTCTATTCATTTTTACCTTTTGATGATGAGGGTCAAAACCAAATCAAGGTGTGCAGAGCGCAAACGGAAGAGATATTTATGAGGTGGAACTTAAACAAAATCTGGTAACCTGGTAGATGAAGAAAATGTTGAGAATGAGTAGGTACCTTCGTGAATAGGAAAACAGAAGAAAGTATAGAAGGCGATGTATCTAGTTTAGAAAATGTTGAACTTAAGGTTTCCATGGCATCCTGTCAAGATATTTGGGAGGAAGTAGAATGTATAGGTTTTTGGACTTGGAAGCAGAGCCCTGACAGCTCTTTTTATGGATCATTTCTCAGGTTTGTGTTCGTACCAAGCAACTTTGATATCTACTTCTGGGACAAAGGGCAGGCTTGCTTGTGCTTGGTATAAAAGAGATGGATTCCCCAAGCACAGTGTTTCTCTTCTGTAACATAGACCACTGCATGTGCAGGCCCTTGAGGGAGATGCTCACAACCTGGGCAAGTCTCGTGAAGCCAGGACGGCTGGTAGCACATAAAACCTTCAGGGGACACTTGCCAAACCCTTCTAGGAACAACCCCTCACACGAGAGACAAATTGACCATAAAATTAAACACAAGGGAGAGCATTTTCAAGGCTATCAGAAGACATAAAAGTTTTCTTCATCTCTAATTCTGGAAAAAAAACCCTCAAGGTATGACGTAGACTTGAGCTATGCCTTAAGGGTCTCTTTGTTTGTTTTTTGGATAAGTTAAAGAATTTCTTTCTAAAAAAGCTATAACACAGAGGCTAAGAAAACGATTAGATTTCATATTCTCTACTGGGGATGTTTTACCTTACCTGTTTAGTAACATATTTCACTGAGACATTGAATCATGGATTATGCACGGCTTTGTTCCCTTTTTAGAAATTTCACTTTCCTAATTGCTCTCTCCATCCCAAATCTCTGGAGAATTAAAAGGATCTTACCAGAATGGGAAAGTTTTATCATTGGAAACATAAAATTATGAATACCCTTTGTCCTTTTATCACATTTAAATCCTTAAGCCTGATAGATGCAACATGTCCTGAAGAGTGATGTGTCTACTAG